GGCCCCCACTGGATCATTTTCATTTCCTTCACCTGCTCCCCCCCCACCAATTTCTGCAGCTCTGCAACAGCATCTCTGCCCATCCTCACCCTTCTGCCCCCAACCCTTGCCTCCCTGTACCCCCAATATGTTTTTCCCAATAAAAAAAATTATTTTTTTATAATTTTTTAAACTTTATTATGAATTTCAATAAAAATTTACAAAAGCAAAAACAAAAAGAAGTGACTCACAGTTGACCCTCCAGAGGGTTTACAAAGGTAGTAAACTGCATGAGAGGAAATGGTCCCTCTTTCTCCTGGGAAGGGGCTGGTGAATTTGAACCACATGCCTGCAGTTTGGTAGTGCGAGTCCTTAGCACTAAATCATCAGAACTCCCTAAATCATTTTTTAGTTAAAATGTAAAAAATTAAAAAGTAAAAACTAGTTTGGTGGGGAGAAGGTGATGGGAATGATCTAGTGGGTATCTGAAAAGACATGGTAATGATAAGGTCCAATGGTGATTGATTTTATAAAGATAATGCATGGGAATGAGTGTATGAAATACAATATGAGTAAACAGTGTGAAACACAGTGTATAAAAACTTTGTGGCTGAAGAGTGTTAAGTGTGGAGACCAAATGATTTCAAAATCACTGACTTTCCATGTTCTTGCAATGGTGAATAATGCTGCTACAAACACTGGTGTACAAGTCTCTGTTTGTGCATCAGTTTTCTTTTTTTTTCCCAGGATATATTCCAAGAAGTGGAATAGTTGAGTCATACGGAATTTCTATGTTGAGCTTTTTGAGGAAATATCAAATTGCCTTCCAGAGTGGTTGTACCATAGTACAATTCTACTAACAATGTATATGTTCCTATGTCACTACATCCTCTCCAACATTATTAATTACTTGTCCTGTTAAACTTTGCCACTGCTACAGGAGTGAGATGGTATCTCATCATGGTTTTGATTTGCATCTCTCTGACTGCCAGTGATTTTGAACATTTCTTCATGTGTCTGCTGGCCATCTGAAAGTCATCCTCTGTAAAAAGTCTTTCCATGTCTTTTGCCCATTTTGTAATTGTGTGTTTAGTCTTTTTCTAGTGGAGGCCCTGTAGAATTTTGTAAACTTTTGATATGAGACCTTTGTCTGAAATGGTATTGCCTAATGTATGGGTTTTTTTCCTCCCAGTCAGTAGGTTTTCTTTTCACTCTGGAGGAAAAAGTTTTTGATGCGCACAGGGATTTAAGCAGTGTTATTCACTATCTCAAGAACATGAAAATAGCCCAAATGTCCAACCACAATCAAATGGATTAAGACATTACGGTACATTCACACGATGAAATACTACACAGTACACAGGAGTATGATTTTGTAAATTATTACCTAAAAAAAAGAGAGACTGGAGAGCATTATGCTAAATGAACTAACCAAGTCCCTTAAGGACAAATATTGTATAACACCATTATTGTAGAATGAATATAAGGATCCAAGAGGGTGAAAGGGATAGGAGCAGAGGGGTGAAGATGGATGGGAGGCGGAGAATGGAGTGGTTTAGTACGGTTGCAAAATGTGAAGGGTAGAGCGAGAGGTGGGTGAAGCAAATGGATCTGGTGTGAAAAAACAATGTACACGAACTTTGTAAACCTGTATTTAAAAAAAATCATTGACTTTTAGAAAATTTCTTTTTTCTTGAATAATAAAGATACAAATGTAAAACAAAACCAAATCCCATTTTAGTTAAAATGTTAAAAACTAGTTAGATTCTAATTAAAATTAATCTTTACTTCACTGTATCTTCACATACTTTGTAGTATCACCACTACTACCTCACTGCTGGCAAGTCAGACTGGACTTATAGTTGACCCTCCAGCAGGTCTGCAGGGACTGTAACTCAAAAAGGACACTTATCTTTTTCCCTGAGGAACAGTGCATAGATTCAAAGTGCCTGCCTTTGGATTGGAGGCATAACTCCTTATCACCAGAGCTCCCTATTTATTATATAGTACTTTATATATGGTGTTTTTTTTCCCCAGTATGCAATTACTTTATTGCTGTAGAAGGTCAAGGACTGTAGCCTTCAATATGGATTGAGTCTCAAGATTAAGAAAATAAAGATTCTTACCAATGAGTCAACTGGCAGCATGACAGATGGTGAAGAGACTGAGACTGTTAAAACAGCTTTAGTTTGCTTGTCTCCACAATGAACACTCTTGGCACCAGTATCCAGGAAATCAAAAGACATATTACGATGGGAAAGTCTGGTGTTAGAGACCTCTCCAAAGTACTTAAGAGTGATGATGTCACTCTGGAGACTAAGGTATGCCTGATACAGGACACTGTCTTTGCAATCTCTTGCTGTGTATCAGAGAGCTGGACAATGACTAGGGATGATAAGAGAAGAATTACTGCCTTTGAACTATGGTGTTGGAGAAGAGTATTGATTATACCATAGACTGCTAAGAAAATGAACAGGTTCATCCTAGAGAAGGTTAAACCAGGCTGCTCCTTGGAGGCAAAGATTCTGCAACTTCATCTGACATTGGAAGGACCAATCCTTGGAGAGGGACGTCATGCTTGGGAGGGTGAAGGGACAGCATAAGAGAGGAAGATCCTCTATGAGGTGGATTGATTCAGTGACTAGGGTAATGGGGGTAGGTGTGTCACAGTGAAATTGGCACAGTATATAGCAGGGTTTAGGGCTGTTGTACATAGGGTTGCAGGCCACTCAATGGCACGTAACAAGAACAACAAAAATTACTTTATTAACTGTAATGTGAGATCCAAGAGATCAGAATTCACAGTTAATCCCACTTCAGAGTCTTACAGGTTATCTAGTAAAGAACAAGCATTTTGAAAGGGCTGTAACTAAAACCTAAAAGTAATGCATCAAGTCCCATGAAGAAAAAGTGCCCTTAATTCCAGTAAATTCAACAAAGTATTCTGGAAGGTGGGTTTTCTTGTTCTGGTAGAGGGTCAGGTGTAGAACTGTTTGGTTGTTTTTTTCCCCCTGTTCACAATCACATGTGAGCTGAGTGGATTTGCTGGATGTAGATAACAATGAGCCATGGGCTGGAAGCCTCTTGTTTGGACCTGGTGGTCAGGCCTTTGTATTTAAAAGGTGGCTGGACCCCCCACTAAGTCTCTAGTTTGAAGGCTTATATGTGGTTAGATTCTGGAAGGTGGGTTTTCTTGTTTTCGTTGAGAATTGGGTGAGGACTCTTTGGTTGGTTGGTTTTTTTTGTTTGTTTTTTGGTTCACAATCATGTGTGAGCTGATTGGATTTGCTGGCTTTAGCTAACAATGAGTGGTGGGTTGGAAGCATCTTGCTTAAAGTCAACCAGAACCTGGTGGGTGGGCCTCTGTACTTAAAAGTTGAGTATATTTTCTTGTAAGTGATACAGCACTGGTCTGTCAATTTGTTGTACTGTGATAACTTGGAGTTGCTGTGATGCTGAATGCTGTGCCACTGGTGTGTCAAATACTACAATAGTTAGCCAATGATGGACAGTGTTTGGTGGAGCTCTCAGACTGAGACAGGCTTGGAAGCAGGAGTGGCATCCACTTCCTTAACAACATGCCACTGTAAACTCTATGACAGAGAAACAACAATATTTACAGAACAGCATTCAAATCTTTTGTTCATAGGGTTGCTATGGGTCGTGCTCGATTTGACGGCACTTAACAACAACATATAAAAAGCAGAATATTATAAATACGTTAAATCTTTCTAATATCAGTGGGTATACAGGTAGAAGAATTAAGCACTGTGATAACTACATTTCAAAGCTTAAAAGGTGAGAAACAGAGAGAGAGAGAGAGATACTGTCTGCTAAGCTGTCATTCTTCTGTTGATAAAATCTCAGAGTATATATACCACCTCTCCTCAGTTGACCTGGCTGAAGCCAGCTTATTCTCAATGTCACATAAAGGGTGTTAATGAACCAAAGACTGGTCCTTTTCAAGATTCAATACATTTAGCAACAGAGTTCAAGGTTTCCCACTTTAGTTCCTGGGACTCTTTGCTCTAGACTTAGAAACTGCTGAATAGGGCTTGAAAGTGGAGTCAGGTGAGAAGTGGTGAGAAGACAAGTGATGAGACGCCTGCCTGCCTCTCTGCCTGCCTGGCTAAGACATACAAGCAAAGCTCTCAGGAAATCATTTGAGTCCCTGCCTCCTGCTTGAGTGACCCTAGATTTTTTCAGTTATATGAGGTAATAAATTCTGTTTTACTCACACTCATCTGAATTAAGAAATCTGCTAAGTATAGGTCATTCTCAGACTAAGAATTATAAACTAGCAAGCTTGTTCTGGTGGAATGGGTTTGGAGTTCATTCTGATCTGGGGAAATATTCAGGCTCTCATATTATGTGGCCCACAATATTCTGGCCAAAATATTCTGGCTCTCATGCTATGTGGGAAATGGAAGGAGGACCAAAACAAAGAGGGAGGAAAAATATCCAAGAAAAGTACAAACCACAAAACTATCTACATTTCTGAACTTTAGTTTTCTTTACCTCTTAGGAATGAATAATAATCATAACTCTGAATGTAGTGAAAAAGTAAGTGAGAACTTATCATCCAAATGTGGTAATAAGGCTCTTTGAAAAGTCAAAGGAGAGTTATTTTTATTAAATCCTTTTAAGATTATAAAAACCATTTTCCCCTAATCTTCCTATAGATAGTAAAAGGCAGGAAATATATGGATATATGGTCGAAAATACAGTGAAACATGTAAGCCAGAACTCAATGAGATAGCTAGATCTTACAAGTTATCTGCTTCTAACAGGGTGAAGTCTTAACTACATTTCTAGTGCTCGGTTTAGTGGAAAATCCTTCTCTAACAGGTTTCAGCTTTCCTAGGTTTTATTGTATTATTTCATTTTGGAAACAAAACAAAACAGTTCAGGAACAAAAGGATTCTGTCTCAACGATTTAATTCTTAAGTTACATATAATCATAACTTTTTTTAAAAAAATGTCTTTTCTTTTTAAATGATCTCTCAAACAAAAGTACTTACCTTCAGTGTATATACTCCCATTCTACCTGGAACCTTATAGAAGATTCCCTCTTCACCTCGGGAGTTTGTATGCAGCATGGCATTCAGGCATGCAAGAGGGGAAGTCCCACTGCAAGAGAAACACACACCACCCCCAACAAGATTAGTTCTATTTCAGAACATCATAAGTAATAATGAATAAAAATTAATAAAATAGTATTCATTCAACTTAATATTTTAAAAAACTATACAAAGTGTGAATCTAGAGAGAAGTTGCATGGAAAATAATACATATCTAAACAAAGAATAAAACCTTCATTTTCTTATTTAACTTTAAGTGATTAAAGAAAATTTAATGCCTAAAAGAATCACAATTATATTTTATAACCAGTCTATTTCACTGAGCAACTTTTAAATATCTAGAATACTTATAGGAGAAATCGCACACACATAGATAGTGCAACATCAATCCTTTGCCTAACATTCCACAAGAACTCTAAGCTGTGAAACAAATATACTTCAAGTCTCTTGAATTTAAGACTATGGTGAGATTAGTTTAAAAGAAAGGCTTCTGAATATTTATAAGCAGTAACTTGGCTAAGTTAATGGGAAAAATATACATTTAAAGTTTTTATGTTAGAGGTATATATTCTTTTTCATTTTTATTATCTATTAAGGTTGCTTGGGTTTGTTTGTTTTTTTAAAATAAGATCAGAGGCCATTCAAGTTCACCAATGGCTAGAGGGAGAAAGATGGTCTCAAGTGCTCACGATTTATAGATTCGGAAAACTGATGAAGAGTTGGTATAAGATAGAACTGTCTTAAAGGTAGTTTATTGTGAGTCTGACACACGTTTTAACATGCACCAAATAAAAGGAGCATACACTAAGGAGTGTAGTGTAAAGTATAAAATGGTAGATTAACTATAATATTAAAAACGACCATAATATTAAAAAAATAATAGCTTTTCTGCAAGTGCATCACTAATCTTCAGCTTATACATAAAGGAATTTTAAAAATACCAAAAAACAAATAAAACTTCTAGATGAGAACAACAGTACTTAAATCTAGAAAACAAAATCAGACATATATTGCTAAACAGCAGGCACTCTCACATGTAATGAGCTACTTTTAGTTGTCCAGAAGGCATAGATCTGAAGCTCAATTTTCTGCCCAAACATTAGATCTCTATGAACAACACTAGGAATATAATGTAAGTCCAATAAAAGTCCACTCTAGATCGCGATGGTGAAGAGATTGAGATTGTAAACAGCTTTAGTTTGCTTGGCTCCACAACCAACACTGTTGATATCAGCAACAGGAAATTAAAAGACATATTGTGTTGGAAAAGTCTGCTGTCAGATACCTCTCCAAAGTACTGAAGAGCAATGTCGTCAGTCTGGAGACTAAGGTGCACTTGTTACAGGCCATGGTCTTTGTAATCACTTGCTATGCATCAGAGAGCTGGACAATGACTAGGGATGACAGAAGGAGAATTGATGCTTTTGAGCTGTGGTGCTAGAGAAGAGTACTGAATATACCATGATGGACTGCTAAAAGAAGGACAGGTTTATCCTGGAGAAGGTTAAATCAGGCTGCTCCTTGGATGCAAGGATTCTGAAGCTTCATTTGACATACTTTAGACATGTTGCAAGGAGGGACCAGTTCTTGGAGCCGGATGTCATGCTTGGGAGGGTGAAGGGACAGCGTAGGAGAGGAAGACCCTCGATGAGATAGACTGATTCAGTGACTGGGGTAATGGGGATAGGTGTGTCAGAGACAGTAAGATTGGCACAGGATAGAGTAGGGTTTAGGGCTATTGTATATAGTTGCAGGTGACGTCAACAGCATTAACAGCAGCAGCAGATCAAAAGGGCATCCTTTGTCCAGGGACAATTTTTAAAGGCAAGAAAGGAGAAAGACTGGAAATAAAATGCAGGGAGGAGTGAGAGGAGTTATGCTGCACTTGGACTGCAGTCAATGATAAGAAACAAAGTGTGTGCCCATTACTGAATGGAAAACTCATCAGCTCTGTAAAAACCTAATACACACTAAAAGGTTAGAGGGAAGTCAAGAGTTGTTATATTTCCTTTTTTTAAAAAAAGAAAATAGATTTTTTTGTCATTTTAATGAAAAGTTTACAGAAAACTTGGATTTTGAGTTGTTTTATTTCAAGATAATACTGGAGTACTTAAAGAAATGTTCACTTTTCAAAGGAAAATCCCCAAGACGTGAAATATTAAAATGCTTAATTTTTTCATACTAAAACATTAAAATACGCGTAGCAAACTAGTGGAAGGTCTTTATGGTAGTAACCACCTAGAAAGAGCCTTAGTGAGCGACAGTCAGTCTCTAACTGGAGATGCATAGAACATTTAAGCTTGTTCTAGAAGCATCCTCCTAATAACCAATTGTTGGTGCTGTCACACTGATTCTGACACAGGGCACTCTCCAGAGGGCATGGTAGAATAGTTTCTTCATAGGGATTTCAGGGCCATGACCTTCTGAAAGTAGATCACCAGGCCTGTTTTCCAAAGTGCCTCTGTAGATGTCTGCATCATTATCCTTTTGGCTGGTAGTTTGCACTCTTATACATGGACTCTTTTTTTTCTGTTGTTGTTGAATTCTTTTTTCTTTTTTTTTTTTAA